GCACGGCGACCAGACGCCGAGCCCAACACGGGCTTCATGGCGCAGCTCGAGCTGTACGAGCAGGTGGGGTTCGAGGTGGATATGAAGTTCCAGGCGGTGCGCCGCTTCCTCATGAGCAAGACCGACATTCTCAACGGCGACTCGATGGACGACATGCTGCTGAGCTACTACCCGAGTCCGTATCCCAGCCCGGCGCTCAGTGCTGCCAGTGGCATCAAGGGCTTCACCGCCATCACCATGTCCAACAGTCTCTCCTCCGAGGGTGAGTCGCACAGCGGCATTTCGCGACGCAACTCGGCCTCCACACGCTCCACTTGGAACGAGGGTGGAGGCGGCGCAAATTTGGCGCCAAATGCCAAAAATGTTTCTTCGTGCACCACCACCATCAACACCAACACTGCCGCACCACTTGGCAGCAGCCACGACACGGACCAGCCACGCAGACCACGCTCTCGCTCGGCGTCGGTGTGCTCCTCGGCATCTTCCAACTCGGGGGCAGGCGGTGCGGGCACACGCATCTCGCTGCTCAGTTCGATCAACGACGACGCCGCACGCACAGGCGCCTCGGTCACGCAGCTCGAGAAGCGCATAGCGGCCATGGAGGCGAGCGGCGGCAGCCAACCGAGCGCAGCGGGCACAGGCGCACCCACCACGCTCGTGCAGCAGAGCGACGAGGTCAAGGTGACCGCCAACTCGTCCGGCCGGCTGCCCGGCGGTGTGGCGCAGATCCGCGGCCACGAAGGCGTCAACAACCGCGGTGCACTCGCCAAGCCGACGTTTGCAGGGCCCAAGCTGAGGTGCCGCGCGTGCAGGCGCGAGCTGGCGGCGCTCGACCATGTGGTGATCCACGAGCCGGGCAAGGGCCAAATGGCCTTCGACCATCGTCGTCGCGACGTCGGCTTCCAGGCGCAGAACGTGGCGAGTACTACAGAGGAGGAGTCCAAGCAGGAGGAATCCGAGGCTAATCCAGAAGAATCTTCACCTCAAGAGGCTGCGGGTGCGGCCACTGGCACCTCTGCTTCGCAACCCGCAGCAGTCGCAGCGGCGGCCAATCCAGCCGCATCCGCTGGTCGACCGGCTATCAAGTCGGCCGCGAGTCTTGCGTCGCAACTCCCGCCACACCTCGCTGCACTTCGCGGTGGGGCGCGCGTCGGTGCACAACCGAGCCACCCTCCGCGCGCAGCCGTACCCTCGGCTGGAAGCATGGATGCCATGCTCAAATCGCCCGCATGCTCGGCGTACTTTGTGGAGCCTATGGCGTGGATGAGCTACCTGGGCGACGGCGCGGTCACGGGTCGGCTTACGTGCCCCGCGCCCAAGTGCGCCGCCAAGCTGGGCAGCTGGGACTGGGCAGGCATGCAGTGTGCGTGCGGCGCGTGGATCACGCCTGCCTTTGCACTGCATCGGTCCAAGGTGGACGAGGTGTAGTGGGGTGCATGCCAATCGACGATTTTGAACGCATAAAGTGGGAGGGCGCGCGCTTGTGCACTTGGCAGAGCGGGCTTTGTACAGGCTTTGGCGTGGCTTGCAGGGTGTGTGTGGGCATGGTTGTGAGAGTGCAGAGCTTTGCAGCCGAGTTGGCGGACGGTCAAGGTCTGGCGGTCTGACCTGGCATTGCCTGTGAGTGGAACAAGGTTTTGATCACGGCCGAGTGGTGTTTGAGGAAGGTGGCAGAAGGGGGATTGGGGGTGGGAAGGGCAACTCGAGCCAATCGAGACTGTTGCTGTGGAGGGCTGTGATGCTTGGTGAGTTGGGATGTTGGCAAGCAGGATGCATTGGCATGGAGATTGGGTGGTGCTGTTTGGCAAATGCACAGCGGTCGAAGCTTTGTCGCTGCCGAATCGCGCTTGCATCCAGTGCAATCTCGGCCACCCTGCTTGTCAGTGCGCGGTGGGCTTGACAGCCAAGAGGTGGGGAGCAAAGCTTCGAGTCGTACGATCATCAACCGCAGGCTTGAGCAATCTCGGCTCCTAGTCTGATCTGCAAAGGGTTTCGAGGTTGCGAGGGTTGCATCGAACAGTCGAGCCTCCAAGTGGCCCGCGCGCACAGATGCGTTCTCTCTCAATCTCGCTCGCAGAGTCACCACTGGAAAGCCACACTCTACTCTCGCGACCCAGACCCTGGTCTTGCAAGTGGTTTGTTAAAAGTAATGAAGGTTGGGCCGGATCTTTACGCCCTACGACTTGGTTTGCGTCTCTGCTCCTTTTCCCGCTCTCGCTGCATCTCGTCCCTCATCTGCGCAACACCCTCGGTGTCGTACCTCGCATGGGCACGGTCGCGATTGCGCTGCTCGTAGCGCTCTTCCAAACTCGCCTTGTCCATCCCATCGAGCTCGTCCGGATTGACCGCAACGTCCACAGCATCAGCAGCCCGCTTCCTCCCCCTCTCCTCACCCAGCACCCCAGTGTGCGTAGCAATATCGTACACCCGCTCCGAAGCCAAAAGTTGGCCAGACGAAGATGCGGCGCGCTCCGGCAGCACAGTGTAGAGTGACCGGGAGGATGCGGGCGTAGTGTCCAGCCGCGAGTCTTTGCGCAGCTCCAAAAATGAAGGTGTTTCCACCCCAGTTTCAGTAGCAACCGATTGCAAGCCAGATGCATCCTCGACTTGGGCCTCTTGCTCCTGCTCTTCGGGCTCGGGCTCGCGCTCGTCCTCTTCGTCCGCTTCTTGCTCCGGGTCGGATTCTTCCGGTTCGAGCTGACCCCAGTGATCCTTCAGCACGGGATCCACCAGGTCGGCATCGACGGCATCTTGGGTGGCGAGCACGTTGGCGTAGAGCGGATTGCCGTACTCGTCGACGGGCGGACGACCCCATCCACCAGGGTGGAAGCCCCACTGTGCACCCTCGGGTAGCGGTGCATTCAACCCGGGGATCTGCAGATGCGTGTAGCTCGGTGGCGGACCGAACCTCTGCATGGCAATCAGCCAGGGCGGTGGTGCCAGCGGCGGAATACTCAACGCCTCGACGAGTTGGGCGCTCAGCTGACCGGGCCGTTTGTCCTTGTATTTGGTCTCGTACTCTTTGCCCTCGTAGTAGGTGTCTCCGTAGGGCGTGAGGCTGGGTTTGTGCTGGAACTTGAAAAAGGCGTCGTAGAGGCGATTGTAGTCGATGTCCAGCTTGCCCATCTTGGGCTGCATGCGCTCGCGCGTCTTTTGCTTGAGCGACTGCTCGGCCTCCTTTTCCTTGAGCGCGTCCTTCATGGTGGCGATGCCCGTGTCGGCGATGTAGGTGGGCAGGCGATACGCGGGTTTTTCCATGCCGCGCTTGTTCTGCAGGTAGTCGCGCTTGGTTCCCCAGTGCGGCGGGATGGGCACCGAGTTGCGCACGCATTTGAGATGGACCAGCAGCCGAGGGTCCGAGGAGGTGACGTCGGTCCATTCGACCACTTCGGGCCGACGAACGAGCTGCTTGAGCTCGGCTACGCTCAGACGCTGCAGCTTTTTGTGCTTGCGTTTCGAGAGCACCGCGGGGTGAGAGGAGTCGTCGTCGTCGTCGTCGGCGGAATCGTGGGCAGAGGATAGGTCGTCGTCCGAGTAGATGACCTCGCCTTTGGACGGTTGGGCTGCATCGGCGAGCGCGGTGGGCTGGTAGCGAGCCAGCACGTTGGAAAAAGCGCGGTAGGCTTCCGAGTCGGCATCGATGCGCAGTTCCGAGGCGTCGTCGATGAGTGATGAGCCGTTGGTAATGGTCTTGTCGACGTCCGGTGAAGGCTGCCGTTGGGACTGCGACGCGGCCGCGGATGGCTGCGGTGGATCCTCCTTTTGCTGCTTCTTCTTCAGACGTCGCCTGGCGTTTTTGGTGAGCGGCGCCGAAGCCGAGGCCGAGGCGGAAGGTCGCGACGGACCTGCGACGGCACTCGCAGTGGCAGTCATCGCCTTTTCCGTTTTCGCGTTTTGAGGATGATGGGCGCGCGCGTGCTGATGGTGATGGCCAAGGAGCAGCAGCAGCAGCAGCAGCAGCAGC